GACCTGGGAGTCTTGGTGTGGCACTGTAGGGTAAGCACTGGACCACAAGGTCAGTTTGAATCTCAAGGTTGGAAGTTCAAAATCACCAGTTGCTCCTTGGAAACCCTAATACAGGGTTACTATGAATCGGAACCAAGTCAATGGTATTTACAACAAAAACAGTGAACCTAGGAAGCTCTGGTGTGATGCTGTAGGATAAGCACTGGACTGAAAGACTGGTTTGAACTGGAAGGTTGCCAGTTCAAACCTACTAGCTCCTTGGAAATCCTATCAAGTTTGCTATGAGTCAGAATCGACTAGATGGCACTTAACAACAACAACAACCTAGTGGACCTATTCCCAGCTCTAGCATGTAGCCAGAATTCCTGGTATGACACTGTAAGATATGCACTAGATTGCTAATCACAAGGTCTGTAGTTTAAATATACCATTTGTTCCTTGAAAACCACATAGAGGGTTGATATGAGTCATTAATAGACTTGACAGCACTTAACAACAACAACAACGTATAGCTAAACACCATTATTACAACCTTCCAGATGAACCAATAAGCAGTTGTGTTTCTCAACTGCCATAGTTTGTAACTATTAACAGATGTTAATAGTTGCAAAGGCCATAGTTTGTAACTATTAACAGATGTTCCAAGAATGACCCCATGACCAAGTAGGTTTGAGAAAGACAAGATTCAACAATTTATAATAAGAAGTACACTACTGCATGCTCTATCTCCTCACTATATCTATGCAGAAAGCACTATGCATGCTCCCACTAAATCCTCATTTTAACTATAAGGTAGGTACCTGTATTACTTCTATCTTACAGTAAACTGGGACTTATATTTAAAAAACAAAACAAAAACCATTTAAGGTCTAGTTGAGATTCCAATGTAAGCCATTCTGCATTGAAAGCATTGTACACAGGACACCTATAAAAAGGATTTCTCAAACCCACAAGTTTATCTTATTGCATTGTTAAGAGGGATAAATGCCATTATTGAGGAATGTCCTCCCATAATTTCAGGAATATATTATTCTATGGTTTGAATTCTGTCCCCCCAAAAAGAAATGTTGCAATTTGAATGCCTAGTCATGCTGTAAGATAAGCACTGGCATGCAAGGTTGGTCTGAACCACAAGGTTGGTAGTTCAAACTCACCAGCTGCTCCTCAGAAACTCTAGACACTTTTGCTGTGAGTCAGACAGCACTTAACAAGTATCTGAGAACATAATAATGCTTGGAAATTAGGTCTCTGAAGATGTTATCATTTAAGTTAACACAAGGTCACACCAAAGTATGATGGGTCCTAATCTAATCATGTTGTTGTTGTTGTTAAGTGTCATCAAGTCGGTTCCGACCCATAGCAACCCATTATGGGGTTTCCAAGGAGCAGCTGGTGAGCTTGAACCACCAACCCTGGATGATGGAAATGAAGGAAACATCATTCTAATTCTTCTCTCAAGAATTCTGTGCTCTTTAATTTACACCATGTCAAATGGTACTTTTGGCATCCTGGAGGGACTCAAATCATGGTTCTTTGAAATATTCTTTGAATTTGGGGAGCAAAAAAATCTGAAGAGGCAAGGTCAGGGCTTTAAGGTGTATGGAGTATAGTTTTCCAAAGAAATTCTCATAGGACAGCCTATGAGATAATTCATGGATAGAAGTATCCATGAAGAATGAGTAGGTGCACTTTAATAATGGAAAAAAAAAATCCTTGGCACAATATTTCTGGCAACTTTTTCACCGATTTAGCTTTTAATTTTCTTAAAACGTCTTCATAATATTAAGCCCCTGTGATTATTCTATATTTACCTAGAAAATCTATCTAGATTCTGCCTTTGGAATTCCAAAAAAAGTCATCATAACCTTGTGAGGTGATCTTGAATATAACTGGCTCAGGAGATCCACAGAGAAACCACTGTTATGATTGGACTTTCCTTTTTAAAGGATTAATAAGACTAACACATGTGTATTCTGAGAGAATATATCTTCATCCATTGCAGAGACATGTTTTTATACTTTTTTTTTGGAATTAAAGCATGCATGTATGAACTAGAACCCTAGTGGCAATACTTTTTTACTTACCTATGTATGATTTCCAACCTGTGAGTGAGTGAATCAATTTATTTGATAGGTATGGAAATACGTTGTGTTGTTAAATGCCATCAAGTTGGTTTCCACTCACAGTAACCCTGTATCAGGTTTCTGAGGAGTGGTTGGTGAACTTGAAATGCCAACCTTGCAGTCCAGTGCATGAACCCACAGCGCCACACCAGGATTCCGTGGAAATATAGCTAAGTTTTATAATTATACAACAAGTCTTAAAATCACTCAGCTGCAGGTCTTTGCAATGCTCACTTTATACACAGATCACACTAATTCAATTTACAATGTACTAATATTTGCATGTTTGTGTTTTGAACTCTGGCCTAAATTAACTCATGTCCTGATTTCTTATTCCAGATGGTGTGTCTCACAGTATATTTAGATAAACATAACATAAATGTAAACAGGAAAGACATGAAACTAATGGACAATGTTTCTGCAATTAGTTTCTACAAGTCTACTACTCTTTTGAAATAATACAAATGGAGTAAATTCCACCATCCTACCATTTATCATGTCCCTTGTTTCTGAAAGATCGTCAGCAAGGTTAGGAGCAGATACAAAAATAGTGCATTAACTTTTTCTAATTTTTGGTTGCAAGATTATTCTAAAAGTCTCAAATTTTAGTCTGTATGAATAGAATTACCATAGGATGAACTTGTAAATAATATTTTCTCAACATAATAAAAGTCTCTACCTTTTGTGAGGGGTGGGGAGGGACAAGGGGTATTTCTAAAAACAAAATAGAAAATATTTAGTTAATTGTGGCACTTTAACTATATATTAACTAAAAATTAAATAGGGGTTTCAATGAGGACTTCATGAACCAAGATGATCATAGTTCATTATAAACTTTAGCATTTTTCAAACATATGGTTATTCTAACAGTTGGAAAGCACCAGAGACAGAAAAACAGGGCCAATCTTAATAAAGGCCTTGACTAAAAAAAAAAAAACACTGATCAATTTACCAAACACAGTCTAAAATGTAGATATCCATAGCAATGCTGCTCTATAAATAACAAATTTAAAAGAATTTGTCACTCAACTAACTGAAGTTCTGAATAAAATCAATACACCATATATTTTGTTCCAGTGGATAAATATAAAGGAAATAAGATTTTATGGTAATAATATATTATTGTTGTTGTTAAGTGCCATGGAGTTGGTTCCAGCCCATGGTGACCCTGTATAGGGTTTCCGAGGAGCAGCTGGTGAGTTTGTACCACTGACCTTGTGATTTAAACTGACCTCATAAAGTGCATTATCCCACAGCACCACACATATACACTGACAAATAAATTTCAAATTATTTTCAAAGATTATTAATTTAAAATTATTTTAGATTAAAACTTTAAAAAAAAGTTATCTAACTTCTTACAGGACTTACTGCCAGGGCAACAAACAGAATTGTGTGCTGAGAAAAAAGAAAGAAATGTCACCAATTATATGGTTAAGATATTTTTTTAATCTTAAAATAGAAATTTCCTTGATTGCATATGCTTTTATTATAGTTAATAAGAAAGGGCTAAAATGTATAAAATAGGAAAAACTTCATATTCCAGACTTTGCTGCCATAAAAATAAAGCAAACAATAGCGAGTCTCTACTTCAACAAGAGTACCCAGATAATTCTTGCTTTTGCAATTTCCCTAAAGATCAAGCACCAAGCAGAGATAGTATAACTAAAACAGCAACAAAACTCTAAAGCATGTCCTAATTTTCATAAATATTTTATATATAAGATACTACAACAAAGAGTAGTAGAAAGTTTGTGTGTGTGTGTGTGTATTTTTAAAGAATATCCCACTTCAGTTTTTACCACATTTTGACATCCTTGGACAGAAAATACTAGCAAAGGGAATTTGAACAGCTAAGAGAAAGACACAGTATGATGAATTAGAAAAATTGTAGAATAGCAGGATCATTATAAGGAAGACTGTCATGTATTGATTGGTTAGCCACCAAGATAAATTTAACTTTTAGCCTAGGACCCACATGGAGCTGAAAAGTCATGTAACATTTGGCTAATGCGTGGCCTTAAGAAAGTTATCATCACTTTCTGGAAAACTAGAGCTATAGAATAAATAATCTATGGGTCACTGTAGATTGGCAAATGCAATTCTATTCCAAACTCTACGTTGTATTCTTTATTACACTACACAGAGACTCAGGGTGCAATCCATGGTTGTCCGACATCCTTATAACTCCAGTTCTCCTTGAGACTTGGCCTTTGCCAAAAAGAAACACCCACATGATATTTGAAAGGAGGAAATGAAACAGAGGCTTTGTTTCTAATTCCTACTGCCAAGCATAGTTGTGGATGTATTTGTAGAAATGATTTTGAAGTGTTCTTGGAGTCAGTCCTGGAAACTCAGCCTACAATTTGCTCGGCTAAGCCCTGGAACTACTTTATAAGCTACTGTAAACCCCTTTCAAAGTAGAGTGCTTTCAGTTTTCTGAGAATGAACCCTACCAAACCAAAGAGCTTCTAAGTCCCTTTTCAATATTCCAGGCCATTTCCTGTCCAATGCAGTTTTTTTTTTTTTTTTTTTTTTTTTCCCCTTTCAACAAATCAATAATGTGAAGCCCTTGTCCTGGTGTGGTGCTCTGGGCTAATGCATCAACACTGCAAAATCATTTGAACTACAAGGTCGGTGGTTCAAGCTCACCAGCTGCTCCTTGCTCCTTCGAAACACTAGACAGGGTCATAATGGGTTGGACTCAACTCCATGGCTCCTAACAACAACAATACATTAAGTACATATTGCTATATTTGAATATAAATGAACAAATATCAATAATAATTAAAATGCTTTTCTCCATTAAATTTTTTTTTAAACAACCAATGAGAATCTCCTGAATTAACTTCCACAGGTAACATTTTGTGTACTTACCTGCTACTGCTGCATCCAATTCATCTTCTTCCAACGATTCTTGTGTAGCAAAGTCTCTCAAAGGAGACAATGGATAGGATGAATTGAGATTCAAGCCCAGCATGAAGTTGTGCACCTTCCCAGCACGTCCTTCTCTGGTATTGAATAAAGCTGAATCACTCACTAGGGCCATTAACATACGATGAACCCAACTTGCTTGATTATCATCTTGATATTCTTTTTCAGCATCTTTATTTTCAGTGCCTAAGGAAAAACAAAATGTTACTATACCGACTCAAAAATGCATTTAAAAAAATTAATTATTTGGACAACTGGAGGTTAAAATTAGCAATGAAACTCCATGACTTCTGATTTCTCATATGTTTATTTGCATAAATAAATGTATTAAATAGTTCAACTAACCACTTTTTTTCTTTTCTTAAAATCGTTTACTTATATAGTGTTGTTGTACATCAGGACTGGGGAACGTCCTGTCTATGGGTCATACTGTTGTTGTCATGAAGTGCCATTGGGTCAGTTCCGACTCATAGTGACCATGTATAGGGTTTCTGAAGAATAGTTGGTGAGCTTGAACCATTGACCTTGAGATTCAAACAGACTTCTGTCCAGCACATTAGCCCACAGTGCCACACTAGGACTCCATCCATGAACCATTTTGTTGTTGTTAAGTTCCATTGAGTCAGTACCAACTCATAGCGACCTTATGCACAGCAGAACGAAACACTGCCTGATCCTAGTCCAACCTCACTACTGTTGCCATGCTTGAATCGATCGATGCTACCACTTGGCCAATCCATCTCATTGGGGATCTTCCTCTTTTTCTCTGACCCTCCACCATAGCAAACATGATATCCTTCTCTAGCGACTGGTCCCTCCTGACAATATATCCGAAGTATGAGAGAAAAAGTTTGCCCATCTTGGCCTCCAAGGGTTATGGATATATGGACCATATATAGTATATGGACCATATAAGGCCCTCAAAATCATTGGGTTGACCCTGCCAAGACAATCGCAGTTCCAGCCATCACAGTACTGTCATTGTTGTGAAGTGCCGTCGAGTCGATTCCGACCCATAGTGACCCTGTATAGGGTTTCCAGAGAGCACCTGGTGAGCTTGAACCACTGACCTTGCAGTTCAAACGACTTTGCAGTCTGATGCATTAGCCCACAGCACCACACTAGGACTCCAGCCATCACATTAGGGGTGAGTTAATTATAGCAGGGTAATTTTTAAGTCAATAATTTTGTATGGTCCTCGAATGATGTTATAAATTTTGGCAGAGAAAAGGTTCCTGACCCATGCTATAAAGTCTATTCCAACTCACAGAGACTCTGAAGGACACAACAGATGATCCACAGGGTTTCCAATGCTATCATCGTTGTGGACGCAGACTCTCACATCTTCTTCCCACATAGTAGCTGGTTGGTTTGGACCATTGATCTTTCAGTTAGCAGCCAAACTCTTAACCATTGCATGACCAGGACTGTTTCTTTCTTTACTTATCCTAGGTGAGCCAAAATTGCCTTCCTTATATTTGAAAATAGCATCAATTCTGGAACAAATTCAGTAGTCAACAGGTATATAATGCTTATTATTTTATAGCAATATTCCTAATCTGCTGCACAGGAACTTTTTAAAGTATTGAAGAGCAGAGATGTCAGCTTGAGGACTAAGGTGCGCCTGACCCAAG